AGGCCTTAATAAGGGAGATATGGATAAAAATTGGGTTAGTTTAAGGGAGGGAGGAGGGAAGGGTATATGAGGAACCTAGGGCATAAAGGGAAAGAAGGAGCTCAAGAGAGGTAGGACCACACGAGAAGGGTATTATTATGGGAGAAAGGGGGGCAATGGGGGCACCTTAAAAGGGAAAACCATGATGGAGGGGTGAGACAATGTGAGAGATAAACAATGCCTAGCTAGCTTTGAAGACCAGTGAGAACCATATTACCTACAACCTACTGACAAATTATACATAGCAGAACAAGAAATATATATCTAGGTAAGATTTATCTGAGAACAACTGGTCTTTGCCTAAGATATATCTACATGACTCACAGTAATTAAAAATACCATGGATTGGGTGGCTTAAGTGACACAGATTTGGTGTCTGTTTCCTTATAAATACACTAATTCCCACCTTCACCATCACTTCTAAATGCGACTGTCTCCCAAAGTTTCCTCTCCAAACATCACTGTAGGTTTAGGATCTATGAATTTTGAAGGAGACACAATTAAATTCATAACATATAACTGATTACCTTTGGGGGCCCTACATCCTACAGTGTCCAGTCTATAAAGAGGAGGGTCAACACAGAGGAATCATTTCCTCCATGCTTCCAAGTGAAGCCAACCATGATTGAGCAGGACCTTTGACTTATCTTCACATAGGTGGAACTGGTAAAAAAAAGGAGCCAGGGGCTCCTCCAAAGCCCATGCGACCCCTGAGGAACAGATCCTTAAATGACCTTAAGATTGAAAAAAAATCGGTTTATCTGGATCAACTATGTGGCCTTAAACATCCAAAAGGAAAGTATAACCAAAGATTAAAGGGGCCAATATAGTTTCATAAGAGACCATACGTATAGCTAAAGGCTACACAGCAAGCAACAAAGACAGGCAATACCTCCTTCTGAATTTCTGTCCAGGGTGGCCAAAGGGATTCCAAGGTAGTAACCCAGCATAGAACTGGAAAATTGAACAGCAGACCCCAATCTTATCCAAAGCAATATTGACAACTGAATACCGGTAGACGAGGAACAGGTGACCCTCCTAAAACAACGACCTCTAGATAGGCTGACTAGATTCACCAGAAGGACAAGTAGTGGGGAATGGCTGAGGGTACTGACAACACAGCCAACAGTAGCAGGGATATCAGAGTATAAGGACTCTAGTGGGGGGAGGGAGGCTATGGGAGGGTGCTACCTGGGAAGTGGGTCTATAAAAAAAAATTCTTCAAAGCATAAAAATTTGCTCCTTAATAATTAGTAGATGTGAAAAACATTGC